TCTAAGAGTTTTGTAGTTTGGTTTTTAACATTTAGTTCTTTGACATGTTTTGAGTTAATTTTTGTATATACTGTGAAATAAGGATCCAACTTTATTCTTTTGTGTGTGGATATCCTGTTGTTTCAGCAACATTTGCTGAAAAGACTATTCTTTCTCTATCTATTGAATGAATGGTCTTGGCATCCTTGTTGAAAATCAACTGAATGTATATAGATATGTGGGTTTACTTCTGGAGTCTCAGTTCCATTCTTTTGATCTATATGTCTATCCTTGTGCCAGTACCACACTACCTTAATTATTATTGCTTTGTAGTTAGGTTTGAAATTGGGAAGTGTGAGACCTCCAACTTTGCTCTTTTTTTCCAAGGCTATTTTGGGGCTCTTGAGTTTCCACATGAATTTTGGGATCAGCTTGTCAGTTTCTAAAAAGCCAGCTGGACTTCTGAAGAGGACTGTGTTAAATCTGTAGATCAATTTGGGGAGTACTACCACCTTAACAATGTTAAGTCTTCCAGTCGAAGACAATGGAAGGTCTTTCCATTTATTTAGGTCTTCTTTAATTTTTTTCAACAATGTGTTGTAGTTTCCAGAGTATAAGTTTTATGCTTACAATTTTTTTGGTAAAATTTATTCCTAAGTATTTTATTCTTTTCTACCCTGTTGTAAGTAGAACTGTCTTAATTTCACTTTTGGATTATTCTTTGCAAGTGTATAGAAATACAGTTGATTTTTGTTTATAAACCTTGTATCTTACAACCTTGCTGAAGTCATTTAGTCTAGAAACTTTAGTACGATGTTGAACACAAGTGGCAAAAGTTGACATCCTTGTCCTGTTCCTGATCTTAGGGGAAAAGCATCCAGTCTTTTATCATTAAGTAATTAATTTATCATAAAGTAATTAATAATGTAACTTGTGGGTTTTTCAAAGATGCCTTTTATCCAGATTGAAGAAGTTCCCTTCTATTCCTAGTTTGTTGAATTTTTTCTTTTAAATCACGAAAGGGTGTTCAAATCTGATCATGTGGTATTTGTTTTTTATTCTAGTGATAGTGTGTTACACGAACTGCTTTTCAAATATTGAACCAACCCTGCATTCTTGACATCAATCCTAGTTGGTCATTGTGTATGATTCCTTAAATATGTTGCTATACTTTTAAGGATTTTGTGTCCAAATTCATAAGATATTGGTTTGTAGTTTTCTTTTCTTGTGATATCTTTGCCTGCTTTTGGTATCCTGATAATACTGGCCTCATAGAATGAGTTGGGAAAAGTTCTCTCCTTCTATTTTGTGGAAGAGTTTGTGAAGAACTGGTATTAATTCTTTAAATGATTGACAGAATAAAGAAGTAAAGCCACCTGGGCCTGGGCATTTTTTTGTGGGTAGTTGTTTGATTATTAATTCAAAGACTTTACTTGTTAATAGGTCTGTCCAGATTGTCATTTCTTCTTGAGTCAGTTTTGGTAGTTTATGTCTTTCTAGGAATTTGTCCATTTCATCTAAGTTATGTAATTTATTGATATACAATTAAATATAATACCTTTATCCTTTTTATTTTTGTAAAGTTGGTAGTAACACCCTCTTTCATTTCTGCTTATATTTATTTGGTAATTATACTTGAATACAACTTTATGTCCTGCTTTATCAAATAGCACTCCATCTGAACTATTTTTCCATAGTACTTCAATCTTCATAAATATTAATAATAGTCGACATAATCAATAGCTTATTTCCTCAACCCTTCTCTTTTGAGGCAGTTGGGTAAATGTTCTCTATTACAATGTTGCAATAAACATCTCTGGACATGACAGAATCCCTTGGATAAAGACACCATCACCGAACTCCTTTTCTCCTTTTTACATTCCACCCTGGAGCCTGAGACCCCTCACCCGTGCCTGCCTTCTCCCTGCTAACCAGCAAGTATGAGCAGAGGCCCTAGGCCTGTTAGCCCTTCTTCCGGGTACTGTCTTCTGCTGTTCTCCCTACTGGTAACCCAGGTCATAGAAATGAGGACAGGTATGCTAATACGTACAATCCTGAGCTCAATCCATGCAAAAAACTGGGAAAAACCAGAAACCCCTGACTCTGTTCAATGAAACTAGAGCCTACTCCCCATTTCTGATGTCCTACAATAGGGCAAAGTATCCACCTCTGTGTGTAGCTTGATGTTCTGGAAACCCTTAGTGAGTGCTTTCCAAAATCCTTTCTAAAATTTTCAGATTTTTGTGTAATTATAGTTTTGTAAAATACAATAAGAATGTCACAACAATGTCAAACTGTCATATAAGTTTCTAAATTATCTGATCACCTGAGCTCATCGCAACACTGGCCCATGAACCTCACTTAGTTTGGTACTGCCCCAGCTCAGGCTGTCCAACTTTCTATGGCTGGGACCTCTATGAGAACTCTCGGTAGTCTCCCCACCTCTGCCTCTGCCTGAGACCTGTGAGAACTGCACCTTCCAGCCTGTGTGGGCCTGTATCAGTAGTTACCCAGTACCCCTAGGAGCACCAGGCTGTAGATCTACAGCAGCTATCCCCTGAATCCAGATATCTGCTGAGGAAAATCACAACTGGCCAGGGTTGCCCCTTGTGCTTTAGGTGTCCTATCTACGAAACAGCTGCCCAATCCAAGGTCACATAGATTTACATCTATGTTTTCTTCTAAGATTTTTATAGTTTTAGCTTTTACATTTAGTTTTTTAATCTACTTTGAGTTAATTTTTACATATGGGATAGTATATTAATCCTTCCTCATTTTTTCCTTTTTATCTTTCACGTCTTTATTTTATGCGTACTTATTTTACAGTCTCCAGGTAACAATTCTATGATCAGAGGTTTATAGAAGTCTAAACCTCCCATTCATTACATCAACTGACATTTATGTGTAACACACTGTTTCTTCATGTGTTTTGTTACTCTGGATTCAGAGTCTATCTTAGGCAGTGCTTCATCACGGGAACACTGTACACTCTAGGGTCAGGGGAATGTCCCTGCAGAGTGGATTTGCATTTGCTTTGCCAAGTGCCTCTGGGTGTTAATTAGACCAGAATCCCCTTTTGTGTCTATTTCTCAGCTTTGTGATTTTTAGACGACACAAGTAGTGTTAAAGTGATCTCCAATCCATGTGAGGGCCGGCCTGTGGCTAAACTCTCAGCAGAAGACTGTTTCTCTAACCCAGAGGACAGGCTGACATTCCAACTTCTTGGCCATGGTCTTAACCTGCCAGTCAGGTTTTTTCTAGCCCCCCTCTCACTGGAGGTATTTTTTTTTTTTTTTTTTTGAGGAAGATCAGCCCTGAGCTAACATCTGCTGCCAATCCTCCTCTTTTTGCTGAGGAAGACTGGCCCTGAGCTAATAGCCGTGCCCATCTTCCTCTACTTTATATGTGGCACGCCTACCACAGCAAGGCTTGCCGAGCGGTGCCATGTCCGCACCCGGGATCTGAACTGGCGAAACCTGGGCCACCAAAGTGGAACGTGCACACTTAACCGCTGGGCCACTGGCAGGCCCCTGGAGGTGTAGTTTTTAAAGCAGCTTGACTTTATGCTGGTCTCTCAGTTCTAACCTCCTACATGCCTCAGGCCCAAGGCCCTGTCTTGAATCTGTGTAGCAATTGAAACTCCAAGTCCTTGGTCACCAGGCCAGTAACCTCCCACCCCAACACCTACAGTATGGTCCAGCCCACCGCTCTGGTTGTTTTGGTCACTCTTAGATTTTGGTTCTTGGGGATTTTCCTTACTTTCTTATGACCTAGTCATGTATTTTACAGACATATTACATTTTATGCAGTATTTCAGAGTGTTTAGCAATAGGAAGGTTTTCAGATCCTCCTTATTGCTGGACAGAGAAACTGCGAGATTAAAAGATGCCATGGAGTATCTGTATACTAACACAAGCATGATCACACTGCAGAATAGCATGCAAGCTCCCACACCAAGGTATAGATGCAGCAACTGACTTGAAGGGAGAGTCCTCCCAAGCTGGTTTCCAGGAGTTATTCCCCAAGGAGAACAAATCCTGCTCAGACAATCATGGTGAAGCCACGGGGACAGCACACTGGCTTTAGCTCCAAGACACCATCTACTGCAAGGACAGGTCTCATCACAAATGCTCCCTTCATTGGGCACCTGCTGGTTGTGTGGCTAGTGCAAGAGTCTTTGACCAATGCCCCTGCATTTGGCTGATGGTAGCATAAGCTAGGGTATGTCTGCCCTGGGCTGCTGAGACTAGTCGCCTCGCAGTGGGATGCAGCACTGAGAGGACAGCACTTAAGCCCTTGACCCCTGTGGAGAAAGGTGGCCCGGCCCACCTCTAACTCTCCTAGTCCCCGCCTCATTGGGCCATGCAGTGAGCTCCATGCTGAGGCAGGTTCGGAGAGAGGCTCCCTCCTAGGAGGCAGAGAAACTCTGCCAACAGCAGAAGCTGATACACTCACTCTGGCCATCTGAGGAGGACTCCTGCAACTCGAAGAAATAAACAACTACATCCCACATAACTTGGCTGCTATAGAAGGGAGGTGCAGAGAATGGGCAAGTAGCATAGAGCCTGCAAGAACTGAGAAGCCCATCTGACTTCACAAAGACCTCCGTTCCATCACTTTTTTCTCAGCTCTCAACCTCCTGGTCAGTGTCTGAGCAGAAGGCCATTACTTCCACAGTGCCACAGTATCAGAGCCTTCCATCTCTCCAACCAATCTCCTGCTCCTCTTCTCGGCAAACTCTGGGCTCCATTTAAACAACATTATTCTCAGCACAGCCTCCAGACTGACCAGCCCTCATGTCCTGTGTCTCTGTGTTCTCCCCCACGGCACCTTCTAGCCATCTTCTCACTTGAAGCAGCAGCTCCTTTCTCCTCGGAGCTGGGGGCTCCTGAGTATAAAGGGACTGAAGTCTGCTCCCTCATGAGAGGGCAGGCTGCTTGGTGGGAAAGTGGACGCTGCACTGCTGGCCCGAGGCTGCACCTTCCCTTAGCCTCTCAGGGTCCCATGTAGCCATCACCTACCTTTCCACGGCTGTTGGAGTCACACTGGTCAAGGCAGGAGCACCCGGTGTGGCTTTGGACCGCTCGGTGAATCGAGAGTCAAATGCTTTCATCGGTTCGATCTTGGACGGGGTTGTTAATACGGAGGGTGATGATGCAGCAGGAGTAGAGGTAGCGTTCACACTGGGGGTGGGTTGAAGATGGGAGAGCACGTTAAGCACAACCCATCAAGGATTTGGGAATCCGTTTGGGATTTGTATTACTTGGAGCCAAGTGAAAGGGGTACAAACATCAAACTTCTAGAAACAATTTCAAGATGCAATCTACTATTCCTGACTATTTCTTTAACAATTTCATGTGTTAAAATTCTGGAACTTTGGCTATCTGAGATTGAGAACAAAGGCACTCACATATGCCCCACTGCATTGTTCTGAGAGCTTCTTAGGGTAGCACGAGACCTAAAAAGTGGTTCTTAGAACCCTTATTCCTCTCCATATAGGCCCATCTCCACAACCTGAATACAGCAACTCCACCCAAACCATTCCGATCATCAGCTTTTCCTGGGTCTGATGAAAAAAAACCCCGCCAGGGTTCCTGAAGCCATTGTCTGTCTATTCCTGGACATCATTCTCAGCCACACCTCAGCATGACAACCACACATTCTTCACTCTCCTCCAAGTGCTCACCCCACAGCCCTTGCCTTCTACTCCACAGAGAAAGGGGAGGCCCAGGCATGAGCTTGCCAGCTTCCCCCCAGGCCTAGGTGCATCCCATTCACTGGGTCCCAAAGCCACTGTGCCTCCTACTGACCACATGCAGGCTAATAGCCCTACTCTCACCTTGGACCCCACACCAGATGCCTGGCAGGCACCCTGCATAGCCCTCTCCTCCTCTCCCAGGACCTGCAGGGCCAACTGTTGAAACATTTCTCAGATCCAGCACTCTCTCCTTCCCGAGACACCCTTCCTCCTGGATGCTTTCCTTCCTAACGGGTCTAGCTGCTCCATCTCCTTCTCTTCCCATCCAACCTCAGACTTCCCTGAGACGTGACACATGACACTTGGTGCATGCCTCCACGGCCACGACAGCAGAGCCCAGAAGTAGGAGGGTGTGATAACACAAGAGCACTTCCCCGCCAATGAAGAATCAATCTAATAGTATTAGTTGTGTGTACGAGAGTGGTGGCTATTTTGGGGCACCACTGTCTGCTGGAGTGATCTTCTTAAGACGCAAGTCTCAGAGTTTTCTGTATCTCCACACTAGGGAGAAGCCCAGAAGAGCAGCTTTCTCCCTCTTTTCCACCACTCCTCAGGGGCTAGGGACTCAGGGCTCTGCTCTTTCTGCAGTCTCTATTCCCCACCCCTTCTACTGGTTTGCTTATATGGGCTATGGGTGGGGTATCCTCTGAAAAGCCTTCCTGAAACCTGCCCGCCAACCCCCTCAGATGGCTGGTCATTTCTGCCAAGGGGACCCCAAGAGACATCCCCATACCTCTGTGGCTGCCCCTTCCCTCAGCAGCTTACACACTCCCTGGGGATGAGGACTCACCAACCAACCCCCTGAAGATGCCTGGGTATAACCCATAGCAGGTGCTGGGCAAACAGTGAGTAGTTCCTGGCTCTTATTAATGCTCACCTGGTTTCCAAGTAATGGTCAGTGAAGACACGGGCTCCTTGAGAGAATGTAATTCTGAGAGTGTGAGGGGAGTCCGTGTCCTAGCACATGAGCACCCTGCTTGTAGCAATGCTACCAACAGAGTGCACTGGGGGCTAAGCCACCTCCAGTGTAGACTTGCCAGAAGGTGGTACTGACCCTGCAGCAGGCCATGTGTCACTGACCAGTTCCCACACTTAGCAGATGGATCCTAGGACTGCACCTTCCCCCAGGACATGAAATCCTCACTGCCCTGTGCACCAGAGACTCACCTGAACAAGGCCTCCCTTCTGAGCAGGCCCTCATCTGAAATCAACCTCTCTCTCTTTCGTTTTTACAGAAGGGACCACAAAGTGTCTCTGAAACTATGTCTGAACCTGAACTTTCCCCAGGGACAGGATCAAGTCTTGGTGCCCACTCACCTGTCCTTACTGACAGAATCGCCTGCAGGCCTGGTGCCGGCTGCCGCCACAGGCTCTATGGAAGGCTTCGAGGCGCCGAAGGAGTTGGGGGTACTGGAGTCCAGGGGCAGCAGCTGTGGACTGCTTTGAGAGGAGAGCATGGTGCCCACCAGGGAGCCCGAGAGCGGGATGCTGTTAAAGAACGCTGTGGAGAAGTCCCTGCCGTCAAGAAGAAAAAAGTCAGCCTCAGAAATCAGACACCACAACAAGGACTTGATACATTCTAAGTAAGTTTTTTCTGGGTCCAAAGGTAGTATATTTTCATGGAAGAAAATCTGCAAAGTTACAGGAAGGTAAGAGGAAAACTAAAATCACTCCATACACTATGTTTAATTGAATCTAAGATGAACTATTACTTTATGTACTGCTAACAAAAAATTGTTACATATATAATTGTCAGATGCTTTTGATTATAAGCAGCAACCTGATCTCAGAGGCATTCAAATGTGCCAACATGGGTCTCAGAACTAATGCAATGCAGCATACAGAGCAGGTCTCCCTTTCATTACGGGCTGTATGGATGTACCATAATTTACCTAACCAGCCTCTACTGAGGAACGACCGGGCTCTCTCTCAGCTTTTTCTGTAACAGACACTGCTGCAACAGGAGGCAAGATACTGCAGTGTTAAGGCTGAGGGCCCTAGGCCAACTCAACCAGATCTCACTCCTCTGCCATGCACAGGCTCTGGGACCTTGGGCACTTCAACCACTCTGTGCTTCAGGTTCCTATCTGGAAAACAGAAAGTGACAGGATCCTCCCCATGAGGCTGCTGTCAGGACTAAAGTTGTTAGTGTAACACACACTTAGAACACACAGTAGCTGCTCAAAGACACTTGCTATTGTAATTACGTCATTACACCTGTTGTTTCACATATTACATGGGATAAATTCCTAGAAGTGGAATTGCAGCAGTAAATGGAATGTTCATTGATGATTGATAAATACTTTTACAGTGTCCTCCTTAGAGGTTTAAATTACAAGGCAGGCATGGGAGTGCCTATTTCCCCAAACCTGCACCAACAGCTTTATCAAATTTCTTGATACTTGACAATATGACAAAAAATGGTATCTTAACTATAGTTTAGTTTGCAACTATTTTGTCATAAGGTCGAAATTTTTTCATATAGAAGCATCTGATTTCCTTTTTTTGTGAACTGTTCATATTTTTTGTATACTTCTATTTGGATATTCGCCTTTTTTATTGATTCTAAGACCTACTTACATATTTAAAAATTCCTTATATGAACAGGAAGTATTTTCCCCACGATGTTGTTGACTCTTTATGGTGCAATCTTCCTTGCCAAAAAAAACGTTATTTTTGTGTGGTTTAAATTTTGTGCCATTTGTAGAAGACCTTTTTTTTTTACCTTTGAGATCATAAAAATATTATTCTATGGAATCTTCTAAAATTTTAAACAACAAAAAGTTAAACATTAAAACAAAATCAGAACCGTTGAGAATGCTATTTACATTAAGTTGTCAGGTAGGGATCGAGCTTTGTCTCCAGAGGGCACCAGGTCGTCCTGACTTCCATTTAGTGGATTAGCTAAGGTTTCATCACTGGTGCCAAATGCTACCTTCAAAATTCATAAATACTCAGGCTTATTTCTGGGTTTTCTATTGTATTCCATTGTCCTGTCTATTCATGAGTCAGTACCCCACTGCCTTAATTATTATAAGCTCTTTAAGTTTTGATTTCTGGTGGGGCTAGTCTTCCCTGATTAATTTTCTTTTTCAGAAATATTTCAGCTATTCCTATTTATTTTCCCACGTAAGTTTAGAATCAGCTTGCCTGACTCTGAAAAATCCTGTGGTTATTTGTACTGGCTCATGTTACATTTATAGGTTGAGAGAGATCTGTCATCTTTGTGATGTTGAGTCATCCTAGCTAATAAATGGTATGCATTTCTAGTTGTTTCTTTGAATTTTCTTTTAGCTCTTTCAGTAGGGCTTTAAAATTTTCCCTCACAAAGATCTTCCACATTTCTTGTTCCATTCCAGGTACTGCATTAGTGAAAGTGATTTCTTCCTATATATCTTCTAAAGGTAGTTGATGCTACTTATCTCATTATGTTGGTCGTATCCAGTCGTCTCCCTGTCTCCTTTTATTGTCTATGGCAGTTATGCCAGTCGATTCTCTTGTAGATCAAATCATCTTTAAATAATGACTTATTATTATTTAAAGCTTACCACCTCCTTTCCAATTTATTCTTTCTCTTGACTAACTGTATGAGTTAGGACCTCTAGAACAATGTTCGATTATAGTCACAAGAGTAGACATTTGTTTAGTTTTTTAACTTAGTTTGAAATAAGATAGTTTGTCAAGTTAAGGAAGCATCTATCTATTCCTATTCAACTGAGGTGTTGTTTGGTTTTTTTTGCTGAGGAAGATTCTCTTGAGCTAACATCTGTTGCCAGTCTTCCTCTTTTTGCTTGAAGAAGACTCGCCCTGAGCTAACATCTGTACCAGTCTTCTTCCGTTTTCTATGTGGGTCACTGCCACAGCATGGCTGCAGACAAGTGGTGTAGGTCTGCACCTGGGAACCGAACCCAGGCTGCCAAGGTGGAACACACCGAATTTAACCACTAGGCCATGGGGCCAGCCCCTCAATTGAATTTTAAATCAGAACAATGTTAAATTTAATAAAAATGCATCTTGGGCATCTATGGAAATGATCATATAATTTATTTCTTTTGATTAACATGTAGAAGTAAATTAAGTTTCCCAAAATTTGAACTACCTTGCTTTCCTAAAACAAGACTTCCTTAGTCATAATGTATTAGCATTTTAATACACTGTAAGATTCTCATTGTTACTATTTTTTTAGGATTTTGCATTGACTTTTGGAAACAAGAATGATGAGGAATTTATCACATTCTATCTTTGTAACATTTTGATGTAAATGATGTGTTCATTTCAAAAAAAGATTTTCCAAGTTTTCCTTCTTTTTCCACGAACTAGAGTATTTTCAACAGTATTCGAACGATCTGTTCCTTTAAAGTTTCTTAGAATTTCCCTGTGAAGCTTTCTTAGGTTGATGATTTTTGGTACATTAGCTCTTTGACAGTGTCCTCTATTTCTTCTATAATAATTCATCTGTACAGATATTCTTCAGTTTTGATAACTGTATTTTCCTCAAAATCATTCATTTTCAAATTTATTTGCATAGAGTTCAGCAAAGAAGACTTTCCTCCTTTTGATTGATTCTTTATCTGTGATTATTTCCCATTTATTTCTACTTTAAATATTTGTGCTTTTTCTTTTCTTTCTTGATTAGCTAAGCTAATAATTACCTATTCTGTTGCTACTTGTTTTACTATGAGAGTCAGGAGAGCAAACAAGCCTTTAAGACCAAAAGAATCAAGTTCTGGTGCCAGAAATATGTGCCCTGTGGCACAAAACTGGCTCAAGGCCACGTAGGATGCTACCCACTTCTGTCTCCTCACCAGGTGAGGCTTGCAAGGATCTACAGAACAAAAGTGCCACCATCAACACCACCACCTCTACCACCTCCAGGACCCTTACTCCTCCCACAAGCCCTGCAGTGTTCAAAGCACAGTCACATACTTCTCTTATTTGGTCCTACTAAAAGACAGGCAGGTGGCATTACCTTTTAGGTTCACAATGAGAAAAAGGCTTGACCAAAGGAAAACCACTCTCTGGGAGGAGTCAGGAGACCTGGTTCTGGCTCCACCTAGTCAGGTCTCCACCTTCCAGGCCTTAGTGCCTGCACACCTAACAAGAGGTGGTCAGATTGGCACATCGTATGACTGAAGGTGTCTTTAGACTTCAAGGAAGATTTGGAATAGCTCATGGATGAACCACTGAAAAGTGCAGAGGACTACTGTGTGGTGTCCTGAGCAGACTGGCTGAATGAGTATAAAACCTAGAACGAATCACCTTGACAGCGAGGTCTCTTTCTTTCACATAGGGCCTTATCATCCTTTGAATCCACATACATCGCTTTGGGGAGAATGACCAACACAAAAGCAAGCCTGACTACAGCCGTTGAGGCAACAGCAAACGGTGACTAAGTCCACTCCTCCCCTTTCTCTTCTCAGGAAAATGTGGCTCAGAGCCCTACCCTCCGCCCAGCAATTCCACTTCTGGGAAGTATCCTGAGGGAACAGCCACGGGTGCACTCAAGAATTCATTTACAATCACAAAACACTGGACACAGACTACAAATCCACAGTTAAGGGGCTGGTTAAGTAAATCGTGGTGCACTCACAGGCTGGCAACCTGGACAACCAGCAAGTCATTGCTTCAGAGAACTATTTATTAAAATGGATGCAAGGTCAAGATACAGGAACAAGTAGGGGAAAGACTAGAGATACAGATACCAAAATGCTAACAGTTGATTATGTCTGAGAGACTGGATTATTGGTAACATTTTCAGGCTTTTAATATTTTCAACAACGTGTGTATATTCCTTTCATAATCAGAAAAAGAAGGCTGTAAAAAGGAAAAGAAATAGAAAAAAATCAGTCTGACTAGTCTCTCTGGCATGTCTTCCAATGCCCTGCTAACAATGAAGTGGGCTGGCTGTGAGGACATACTGGCCCTGCAGAGGCGCCCTTGCTGGCCTGTTGCAGGCTCCTGCTGGCCTGCCTAAAGGCCGAGTCAAGTATGCATAAGGGCTCTGTGGGAAGCGGGGGCTTTGAGGCCAGTGGGAAGTTGGGCTCAACTCCCTCACTTCCAGAGTCTATGGGTCAGACTGGCCCAAGAGCCTGTGAAGGGCCAGATTATGAGAGGGTTAACTGGTGAAAGGAGAGAGGAAGACCTCCCCAGATAAGGCCACAGAAAGCTCGGTGAGTGAACGAGTACCCGGTGTCCAGCTGTGCTATGCAGAGAGGTGTGATTCTCCTCCGACCATCTGCCGTCCGAGTCTCAACTTGTTTCTTTAAAAGATTCTGGCAAAGTAGAGTGACACAAATGAATGCAAGAATTTCTGCCAACTATCTCCAAATAACAAGAAATAAAGCCTCTAAGGAAACGTACTCTAACTTCCCTTTCTACAGCCTTTCTAGTCCAATTAAACTAAGCCGTCTAATCAAAGAACAAGTGTTTCTATCAGGGTGTGTGCTCAACTTCCTGCACGGTAAAGCAGCAAGGACAGAAAGCTCCCACTTCAAAGAGCTCCAGCACCTTCCTCTCTATCCTCAATACTGCAGGCCTGGCCAGGTTCCCAGGGTAGCAAGCATGTGCCAGCCTGGCCACCCCCACCCAGCAGCCATGGGGCTCAACAAGGAAACTAATGAATGACACCTGTACCCTGCACTTGTCTCTAAGCCATGATTTGCAAACTTTACTAAAGGCTCATAACCAAGGGTTCCCAGTCACACACTGTGTCTGAATCACGTGGGGAGTTACGGCACCCTGCACAAGCTCCTGGAGATGGTTTAAGCTCTCCAGGTCTCCAGATCTCAACATTTCCTGCCCCTTCCTGGTGAAATACGGACTTCTAGAGGAAGAAGGGGGAGCCCACACACGTCTCCTCAGGGCAGAGCCTGAAACCCACTGTTCTCAGTATCTAGAATTTCCTAGAAAGGCTAGAAGTGGGGTTTGGAAGTCCCTATAAGAGATGACCTCCTCTAGAGCTCCCTGGGACAAAGAGGTCTTTGATAAAGGTGACTTAGGCCCCATTATTACCTCATGCAGCTGACGGCAATGGAGCCAAATGGCCCCAAGCTGGCTGACTCCTGGGTCCTGCTCCAGGCACAGCACACATCTGCTTCCCACCAATGTTTGTGCCCTGTACAGACTGCCTGTTCCCTTCGCCCTGTCCCTGGACACATGCCCAGGTCCTTAGTGCCACAGGGCCAAGCCCTCACCTTCCTGATGTCTTCTAGACTCTCCCCATTAACGACACCAGCGACAGAGGCAGTTGAGCCCGTCTCTCTGGCTGTGGTACTCTTCTGGTCCAGCTGCTGTTGTTGCTGCCTCCGCTGGTACTTGAGCATCTCAGGGTTCTCAATGACAGCTGTGGAGAGTTGGGCCTCGGTCATGATGGCCAAGCTCTTGCCATAGGTAGATTGGTGAATGCGGCTCTAGGGGAAGCAGAGAGAAGTGCAACAAACTGGAGGTGAGCAGCAACCTAGTGGACGTTGCCCACCAGTTGGCAAGCTGCATGTTGGTGTTCCTCGTTCTGAAAGTGGAGAGGGCCCTGAGCAGGGGTTCCAGAGCCCCGGACACCAGCTCTCTATCCCCTCCCACCCTATTCTGCCTGTTGCTGATTAGATGACTCTGGAGGTCTTGTACCCTCCCTAGATGTTTATGACGACCTGTGTATCCATAGCTTGGGATGAAAGTGAATGAGTAACCAATAAGAAAACACTTACCACAAGGTCTGGTACAGAACAAATGGCAATAAACATCTGCTGAACTAAAATTAAGACACTCAAATTGCTAACTTAAGGCTCTTAAATCACTCCAGGGACGCCAAATACTTTTTGGGAATCAGATACTGAAACCCTCAGTCTGCTTTCACTGCTCCTTTCTGCAGCTGTCAGCCCCGCATGGTAGGAGGTCGCCACGGGAATGCTAACAGGGCCTCTAAGAGCAAAGAAAGGCCTGGCACAGCAGACCTGGGGTAATCCTTCTCTGCCCCTTTTGTCCCCCAACATGTCCTGACCCTTCTGAACAAGGCCCCTCCTCTATCTTGCCAGCTTTCATTAGTCTGTGCCACAACAAGCTGAACAGGATCCCATGTTGGCAGGGACAGTGACCCTAGCACACCAGAGTGACTGGTGTGATGAGGAGCAAACTGACACAAGGACGTGCTAACAACCATGTGGAGGACATCTGTCTCATAGCAGAGGATGCCGGACAGGGGAGGGGGGCCATGGGACCTGCTCCTGCGGGACCTTGTGTGCCTGCATGTGGCCAGGTGCTCCCCTGCTTGCCACCTTGGCTCCTATCCACTCTCCCCTGAATCTTGAAGCAGAATTCAGAGTTTGGCCCTAGCATTCCTCAAACACAGGGTCCCTGCCTGTCATCTGGGGAATGGTAAGTTAGACAGGTTTATGATCTAGGCTTCCACTGCAACTCTTCATGGGGAGGGAAGTACACAGTGATCTGAGGTTATAATGACAGTGACAAAGTGTGAAGAAGATCTGAGGCCACTGAGACACTCATTCTTTCTTTGACAAACCACTGCTGGAGTGCCAGGCCCTATTCTAGGAGACGCCAATCCCTGAGAGGTTTACATCACAGTGGGGGCTCCACACAGAGGCTTATGAGGGAGCTTCTACCAGCAACTGCATCACTAAGGGGAGAGCTGCCCAATGCTCTGGGCTTTCACAGGGGCTCCTTTCAGACAAGTGAATACCTTCCACTAAGTGTTGGCAAAGGCTCATTTGCAGAAATGGCAGGTTTCTAAGTCTACGGTAGGTAAAGCAGAGCCTTTCCCACAGCGCTTGAAGAAGGGCACATGGGCCCCATTGTCCTGGGCAGAGCATAGAGGAGAGGAGGGCTGGCCCAAATGCAGTGGGCCTGTTTCATGCTTTCATTCTCGTACCTAAGGGTCATGCATGGCCTCAGCAAAAGGTCACACTATTTTGAGACGCTTAGTTACCTTACTGATGAATCAGATAAGCCCTGCCTTGGAGGGTTTTATTTATTTTTGTTTTTTTTGAGGAACATGAGTCCTGAGCTAACTACTGCCAATCATCCTCTTTTTGCTGATGAAGACTGGCCCTGAGCTAACATCTGTGCCCATCTTCCTCTACTTTATATGTGGGACGCCTACCACAGCATGGCATTTGCCAAGCGGTGCCATGTCCGCACCCGGGATCTGAACCGGCGAACCCCGGGCCGCCGAGAAACGGAAAGTGCGAACTTAACTGCTGCGTCACCGGGCCAGTCCCTGAAGGGTTTTATATAATTTAAATGAAATAATATATGTAAGATGCATGGCCCAGAATCTGACATACAATAAATGATCAACATCATTGTTATAATTGCTGCTCCATGGCAACTACATCAATACCAGACAACGGGGAAAGCGACATGAGCAGGGACCCTTGGGAGCCACTCCTGCTTTCTCCCAGGGTGAAAGCTTCCCAGTGTGTTGCTAATTATCAGTTCAAGAAGAGATGCCCAAAGTCATTTTATTCTTAACTCCAGAACTCACACATTAATTTAATGTATGCAGTCTTATGAAAGAATCAAATTTATTAATTAAAATGAATAGACTCATTTTTATTTATTTTTCTGTTTGTTTGTTTTGAGGAAGATTAGCCCTGAGCTAACTGCTGCCAATCCTCCTCTTTTTGCTGAGGAAGACTGGCCCTGAGCTGACATCCATGCCCATCTTCCTCTACTTTACATGTGGAACGCCTACCACAGCATGGCTTGCCAAGCGGTACCATGTCCACACCCGGGATCTGAACTGGCGAACCCCGGACACACAACCACTGTGCACATAACCACTGTGCCACCAGGCCGGCCCCTAGACTCATTTTTAAATTAACCTATTTTGTAAAGAAGGTAAGTATTACCATCTATAAAAGGCAAATACCCAATAACACTTTAAGAAACAATATGTCTGTGTATGTCATAAGAAGGTCTAATCAAAGGGGCTTCTCAGAGCTATTGTGGCTATTTCTGAAGTCCCAGAGCATGTGCAGCACATGGGCCACCAGCTGGTGGTGTGTTGGTCTCCTACCTTCTCCTCCTCGCTCAGGGGGTCTCCAAGCTCATCCTGGGAGAAATCTAAGAATGCCACAGAGCCATCCATGGAGCACACCAGAATGCCCAGACCATTCAGAGTCCTGAAAGAAACGGCTGTCAGCAGCTTGCAAGTAAGAGCCTGTGGTGGTCACCCATGCTTCAGTGGCAGCGCAGGACTCTAAACAGATGCCAGAAACCCCTGGTGCGGGTGGGGATGGGGGCGAGAATTGTGTCCCAGAGGGCTGTGGTGCTCCCTTCAGTTCTAAGAACATGTACAAAGCATCTCTCATCATGTGTTCTGTAAGAATTTCATTTTTATTTATCTAATTTTTGAAACCATTTAAAAAAAAATGTGACGGAGTGTACATCTAAATGAGGTCACTGAGAAGCAGAAAATGTGTCTCCACACCTATGCTCATCTGGTTCCTGCAATGTCACACGGTGAAGTGGAGCTAGGATCACAGTGCTCTCCTTTGCAAAGAAAAACACCAGTTTCTCTGACAAGGTATTTTCCAGGGGCAAATCCCAATGGAGCAAAGGCGCAGCAGCAGATGCTCTCCCAACAGCAGGCCCGTGCCGCCCTTCCTGAGCCACATGCAAACAGCACCTGGGGGCTCTGCTCTGGCTGTGACACAGGGGGCCTCTCCTCAGCTGACCCTAATCACATCCAGGAGGCCTTGTGTTCCAATATGCAGCTCCTCCTTTCCTAGCCTGTGCATCGTAACAAGAGTCCATCTTACCAGGAAATATCCATGATGGATTTGTCAAACAGCTCATGGATAACAACCAAAGGCCGTTTCAGACAGGTGAGCTGGAAGGAAAGAAGCAGCAAAGGTTAATGAAATGACTGAAAACCACTTTTTGTCCACTCAGCTAGCACTATCAGTCCTAGAAGCCTTGGCTGCAGTTTTTGCTGACATACAGGGCACATTCAACTCTGTTCAAACAGCAACCATCCAAATCCTAAACTGTGGAAACCAAAGCCTGCCCCAAAGTATGCAGACTAGAGTGGTCCCTGCCTGAAGGGCTTGCTGCCCCAAGGGGTCAGCCGGGGAGATGGCTTTCTACACACACACCAGCAACAGAGAAGGGGGTTCTGGGAGGGCTGTGACCTGCGCAGAGAAGGTTTACCCAACCGGGATGGGATGCCAATGCCTGGACAAGGGGTGAGGCAGCCAAGGCAACTCCCAAGATAGGAAAACAGCCTCAGAGAGAACCTAGCACCTCTTCTCTGGGCCCAAGAATTTCTGGTACACATGTACATCCAAGACTTGGTGTAACCAGCTAGTACGTCACACAGGCTCATTCTATAAAGTGTGTGTGGATAGCACAGAAACACACAAAAACAGTTTAAGCTGCCCTTAATCCAGACCCAAAGTTAACCACTATTAATGCTTTGATGAGTTATTTTCTTCTAGTCTATCTCATGCAAATATTTTCTTCTTTAAAATAAGCCATATGGTTATGTCTACTTTTTCATTTAATACACAATGAGCATGTCATTAAACATCCTGTAAAAACCTGTTTTTGATGACTGCGCAACATTCACCACATACATATTCGTTATTGAGTCATTATAACACTGGGTTGTGCATCATCTCCACAGCCTCATGGCAACAGCAAGATCCATCTCCCATACAGTAGTGTCTGACCACCCTGCTGACAGGTTCTGGGCCAGAGGCTGGAGAGCTGGATGGGAACACACTTCTGCAGGGCATCCAGCAGGTGCTGAGGAAGCTTCTGGGAGGCTGGGACTACATGTGCAGGGGAGGCAAGCTGCGGCCACCCTAGTGCTGAGGAGAGGGCTGGAGTCTGAATTACCTGGAATTCACAAGAAGAATCTTGCCCTACCCTAATTCCACTTTCAGAAAAAATATCTCTGCCCCTTCTCCAAGAAATGTGGCTACAGACCCATCAGAAATCTAGAACTTGTTTTGTGAACACCTGACCTCAATCAGTGATGTGTCGGTCAAAGCACCATGAACAGAGCCCCAGGTTAGGAGGAGCCCAGGAAGAACATGCCTGGAACTGGCTATGATGGAACTAGGGTTCAGGTTCTGGAATGGATGCTACATGAACACTGGGCTAGAAAAATCAAAATGTATACAGCAATCAATTCTCTGTGACAAACAATCATAACTAATGCAGCCATAAGATAAGCTTCAAATCTACAACTTCAAATCCACTTGGCTTATGCAGAAATCATTAATAAGGAAGAATTATTGTTAAACACAAAATTGATGAATCTCATCAACATTATGCAAAGTAAAAGCAACACGAGACACAAAAAAGTAAACATTGCACAACTCTATTTATATGCTAGAACAGGCAAAACTTATCAGTGAGACAGGGACAGACATCGTTAGAGTGGGTGCCGTGGTCAAGGGTGGGGTCTTGGCTGGGCAGGGACAGGGAGCATTCTGGGGTGGTGGTCACACTGATATAAACATGTTATGACAATGCACTGAGCTGTATACTTCAGGTGAATACACTTTATGTAGGTTATATGTTGATACAAAGGTTTTTTTTAAAAGGAAGCAAACACAACACGCCAACTATGGCCTCAGCCGCTGAGGGTGTTCTCTGAGTCTGGACACGAGACCTGCTCTGGCTGGGGGTAAGGGTGGCCTCTCTTGGTTGGGCTCAGACTCAGTCTTCAGTGCTTCCTTCAAGAGTAGCAGGAAGGCCTGATCTCACGTGCAGCGCAGGAGCACAGACTGAGCTCCATGAGAAGCAGGAGTCTCTCCTCTTCCAGGCCTCCAGGCTCCAACTCCTTCACCAGCATACCCCATCCCTCCCTACTGCAGCAAAAGCTCATGGTCAGGGGCTCACCCAGACAGAGAGAGAACGGTCCTTGCTGCCAACAGCACAGCAGCAGTATGGGCAGCTGGGCTTCGCAGAACTCCCATTCTTCTGCTTCTTTTTGAAGATTTTTGGGTTGAATTTCTAAAGGCAAATAACAAATAATTAATGAAGTATGAAGGATGTACCCCATGCCAAGTATTGGAAACACACCACCATCTCAGCCCGCCAGTGGAGCCTAGCCCTGGGCACTTGACACACGTTACTTCATCTTCACAACTACCTAGGAGGCATTTTGCTGAGGATGAAACGGAGGCTCAGAGAGGCCAGAAAAGTGTGCCAAGTCACCAAATGAGTAAATGGTGAGATGTAGGTTCAAAGCTGGCTCTACCAACAGTCCAATTCTGGGCCTGCATCCACCCTGATGGCATGGGAGCTACTGAACTGGCCTTGTGAATCCCTACTGGTCTGGACAAGGCCAGCTCAAGGACCTGGACTTCAGGGAGAAGGTCCTGAGGGAGGCCAACAGGATTGTCAGGAGAGGTCTGCTCCGTTAATCTCTTTCCCGTCACTGGCTTTGTTGTCGCTCAGTCAAAACTGTCCAGGAGAGACTGATCAGCCCTGCATGAACTCACTGGGCCAGGGATGACAGTTGTCATGCTAAGCTCAGTCCAGGTAGCTGCCCCCGGCATAAACTGGGCATTACTTTTGGAAAGGTTGGAAGCACATGCTGAGCTCCCTGCCACCTTCCTGAATTGAAAGGGGTGGGAGCCCTAGACCCCAAGCCAGGACAACTGAGGAAGCAAGGGGGCTCCTTAGAGCCTGGTGCCAGGTGGCCTGGAGGGGTCCTAATTCAAGAGGGCAAGCAGAAATGGCCAGGGAGACAGAGACTGGAGAACATGGAACCCAGAGGCGTGTACCCCGGGCTTGAGTCTCTACTACCAGTGAGTTGGCTGCGAGGCCTCAGCACTGCAATCTCACAGAGCTGTGATCTGACAGAGCCACGATCTCAGAGTCACTCTTACAGTGGCTGTGAGGATCACACGAGAGAGCCATGTGGAAGACTGTGCTAACCATGGAGCACTGATTTTCAAATATTTTAGCAACAAGGTCTTGGTTTCAAACAAAATTTTACATAAAGTCCAATACAAAAAAATTAAGGAAGTAATATTTTATTTGTATTAAGTTTATACTTTAAGTCACAATATGTGATATTATCAGTTTAAACACAGGAAGGATGAGAGCATTTGGTGAATACAAAAAACTGAGATGAGGGTCCTGGACGATCCTTCACTTTCATCTACCTTAGCCTGCCAATCTATTTGCTGTGTTCTGGTTGCCCGGGGTTGAGAAAATCCTGGTCTCACAGGCTGTTTGCAACTACTTAACAGCTTGCCTTGGGCACTCTCAGGATGCTCTTCAATGAAAGTAGCCCAGAGTATAAAAGGAGTGGCCGGTACTCTTTAGCCTAAAAGGTTAACAGTAGCCCACATCTTCTGGCACCTTTCACCTTCCATGTCAAGGCGGGTGGGCAGCTCCAGACGCAGAGAAAGCACTCTAGTGATCCACAGCATAGCCTTGCAGCTACAACTGGCTGCTGCTGAGGTGCAGGGACAAGCACAGCTGCTTGGCACACATATCAGAACTGAACCTGTGTTCCCTGGAGGCTGACAAGTGGGCCACTTGTCAGCACCACCATGCTTGCGTACCCATGAGCAGACCCAAATGTGTAAAAAGGCTAGTGCAGACCTACAATATTCCTAATCCAAGTCTGCTTCTGGTGATATTCATCATGTTAAAGTCTGTCAACAAAACACATAAACATGTATTCTATTTTGCAAAATTAGTTTTCAAGTATTGAAACATAAACATTTAAAATGAAACAAGAACACGATGTGCTGAATCTCAGAGCCGACCACCTCAGTGCTACACGAGACCCAGCCTCAGGGAGCACGGCACTGCCCAGGCTCTGAGGGTACCACTCAGGGTGGAGATGACAGCTGACCAACCTGAGGCCAAGCGCACTCACCACAACAGTCACAGCTTTCCGGTGCCCGACAAAGTCCATGTTAGTCTTCCAGCCCTCCCGTTCGATGATCTGGGCAGTGGGGCCAGAGTTGTTCATGGCATGGGCAGATACTAGGTAGTGCCCATCAGGTGACCAGCTGAGTCGCAACACGTGTGTCGTCCCTCCACACTGAAAGAAACATCTGTGCTTGAAAGGAGCTCAAGGCCAACTTTGTGACCAAAACCGTGGGCCCAAGAATACAATCAAACTCTGACTGACAAATATATGATGGTGGCATGTGCATCCAAGCATCTGGCTACACTGACAGCTGTTAACTCCAGTCTTTCCAGATGATCCAACAAAAACGCCTGTCAGATGAGACTGGAAGGTGTAGCATCCTACACTCCTCACAGTACAGTATATAGGACCTGAGAGGATCTGCAGGAGGCCAGCTCTTTTAACTATCAACTGCGTGGGTCAAATCTCTCTGGCCAGTGACCCCTTTCTTCTGCTCAGCACCTGCTAACTGCACACATGAAGTCTGCAGAACATTCACTGCAGCAGAGAAAGAGCCCTGCTGACCCTCAGGTCATGCAGCCATGACCATGTGGCATCACCTGCTCTCTCGAGCCCATCTCCTCACCTGAAGCCTGGTGATCTACCAAGGAGAAGAGGTGTATAAAGTCTGTAAAAACAGTAAAATGCACGGCAGAAAGGCAATGTTCCCCTGACCTAGATGCAGGGCTGAAGCAGGGCATTCCTTCACATTATTCCTCCTGCAAGGTGAGATGTATTAGCCAAAAGCCAGTCCCCTGAAGCTCAAGGTCAATCTAGGACAACCCTAAAGACTTAGGGTTGAGACCTTGGCCTTATGGCCCTAGAGGAAGGCAGGACAAGGCAGGGCCTGAGTGCAGTGACATATCTGCCTCAACTTCCAGCTGGGCCCCAGACCCAGGCAGGACAGGCCCACTCCAAAGGCTGAAGAGTGCTACCAGTTCCCACTGGGATTCCAAACACTCCTTTCCCGCAGTCACCCCCAGGAGCCCAGCCTACGGGACCCCCTGCTGCCAAGCAGCAGGGGACCTAAGGACCTCCAGAAGGCATGAGGGCCCATGTCCCTTGTACCAGGTGGCTGCAGCCAAGAAGAATAGAACTAAGGAAGGTGAAGGCCTGTGCTAATGTGCCCAGTCCAGGAGGTCCTTACTGTTGGTTTGGGGAGAACTGAATACACGATTTCCACTTGCCTCCTGCAGCTAGCCCTGACCAGTGGGCAAACGCCTAATTCTTCCTGCAAAGCTTCACTCATGTCCCTTCCTCTGAGATGTCTTTCCTGACGTGATCACACCTCCTCGGTGATTTCTGTACACTCTCGATAAATCCACCACCATCCTCACAAGTGACATGACTGTCTGTCTTTCCCACTGGGCTCTCAGCTTCAAGGGAGACTTGATCTCAATTTGCTTTCATTTCCTGCACCCAGAATTGCCTTACACATAGTAGGCACTTAAGAAATGTCTAATGAATAATGGCAACCTTGAGCTCTGATCCCATATGTAATGACAACTCAAATGAAGGAAGATATAGTAAAATACTACACAAGCCACTGTAGTCCACCTTCAGTAATTTTGCAAACTGTACTGCTAACTCTACCCAAGAAAGCAGCAGGCTAGCTTGCAGAGTGAAGTCAGCGAGCAAAGCCACAGCACAGTCAAGAAAAGTCCAAGAGACAGCCTCTTCCACCCGCCCGCTTCCCCGCCCCCACCTCCACCTGACTCCCTAGGGCAGCGCAATGTAAAGTCCACACTGTAAGAAAGTTTCATATACGCCTGCGGAAGTGCAAGGCATCTCTAAGGTTCTCTTCAGCTTTAAAATCTAGAAATCTTTTTCACTTCAAAACTGGATGTTTAATAGCTTCTGAAAAATGAAAGATTTGCATCATCTGACTCTTTGGGCCCCAGAGAACCCTGACCAGCCTGGTTAGGTCCCCAGACTCTGCATTCACCCACGAGGTCTGGGCCAGCAAGGCTGCTGGGCCAAGCTCTCTGGGCTGTCTCATTACCTCATCAAAAGGCTTGGTGATGCTAGTCTCCAACTGCCAGTCCAGCGTCCTCCACACCTTCAGGCTGCGGTCATCAGCTTGAGAAGCAATGTATTTACCAACAGGGTCCCAAGTCAACCCCTTCACCAAGCCAGAATGACCTCTCAAAGTAGCTAGAATTTCTACGAAGAAAAATAAAAGAGATTGGAAAGGCGTTACCCAGGGGAAAAAAGACTATATGGAAACATGAACTGCAATCCACGGGTCATGGAATGGCCAGCCATGAGAAGAGTCCTCAGGAGGCTGCCCTGGCCAGCCCCTGCTCTGGGCACAATCAGACAAGCCCCCTAATTTGATCTCCACAAGGCAAAAGCAATCTGAAGAAACAACTACCCCTGGCAGGCCCTGTGGATTTCCCTTTAGCCACAGCTGACATTTGAGGATTGAGGCTGTCCATGCTCCAGGAAGGGCAGACAACCAGGGCCAGAGCTGAATTCTGCTCCTTGTCCTGTCTGCAGGTGGCGGCCTGCCTCTCGTTTCCCTTTCTGGACAGAAGTTCGTGCCCATCTGAGCAGTCCTGTGTGGACCTCCCCAACAGCTTCTCCCTAAGGCGCAGGCCTGACAGCTCTGGGACCCGGCCCTGCGCTGAGTGAGTCCTCTGTAAGTCACCACTGGGGACAAATGTGTGGGAGACAGCATTTCCTAGAGATCCATAATCTAAATGCCAGCCTCTAAATCTGCCCCTCCATGGCCAGGCCAAGTGTCCTCACACATGCTGGTGGCTTACACGGAAAGAAAATGACTTGGATCAAGTCCATGAACGATTCTTTTTAGTCCATGAGGAAAACATACTCCAGACACTGAGCAGGAATGTGAGCAGTATCTTACTAGTTATAAACTGCAGTGCTATGCCCAGTTAAGCCAACTGTTGTGACTTTAAATACATAAATAAGAAAAATTCACCCTGTGTAAAACCAGATTTGTTAGCCCGCCTCTGCTCAAGGGTTTCACAGAAGAGATGGCAACTGAGCTGAGGTGAGAGCCCAGCAGAGGGAGGGCATGCCCTGAAGGGCATGTGAGAGGGGAGTGCTGGGCATCTGGGGGCATGTGGAGGTACAGCACACATGGGGGGTGCCTGGGTGAGCTGAGCACCAGCTGGACAAGGTCTCCAATATCAGTTGTCAACCTACCACCCTCATGATCTATGGCACATCCGTGCTAGCCTTTGGTTACTATTTTCTTTAACATAAACCTCTTTAAAAATCTTAAACAAATGTAACTGATGAAGAAAAAAGAACTGAGTTACTGACAAGACACGCAAATCCCCATCCACTGAGAGACACTTGCTGTCACCAGCCAAAGGAAACAGAGAGCCCACCCTGCTCCAGACACGGACAGGCGGTGCTGCTGACAAGTGGCTCATTTCTGCTGCCACCAGTCAGAGGAAGCCCAGACCTGGGAACTTCACAGCGTTCCAGATGACAACAGTGTTATCCACGCTGCACGAGGCCAGCCAGGCGTCATGGGGAGACCAAGCTACGTCCATCACATCTGGAAGACAAAGGGCTGGCGGTGAGTCTCTTACCTGGCATACAGATTTGACAAGGGGACCCTTTAGCACCACCCGTCTGCCAGCTGGGCCAACACCAGTCCCTGGTGTTCTCATATCTGAGATTTCACCTGGGACCATCATAGCTAGACTTTTTTCCTCAAAGCAGCTTCTAAAAATTCCCCACTAAGAGGTTTCTCAACTGGTCATAAAATTTAAAGCATCTAATTGATCCTGCCCTACTCCTTTTACAAAGCAACTGAGGGCATGGCTGAGAGCTTGGCACCATGTGGCATCACACATACCAGAACCCTGGCTCTGACACCTACTGGGTCTGCAGCCTCGGGCTCACTCCTAAACCCTGCTAAGCTTGTTTCTCCAATCTTAACTGGACCTTCCTCAGAGAGCCCTTGGAGCACTGTAGGTCCAACACTCAGCAGAACACCTGGGGCACAGTGAGAGCCCAATAGCTGCTAACTAACGGAATGAGTGGAAAGTCATCTTGCGGCCCTTTTCCTCATAATCTTCTCAGCATCTCATCTCCAAGACTCTGCCAGAGCACCCCTTTCCTACAGAGCCCCCAAACAGAATTAATCATGCTCATTTCTCTGTAACTCAGTTTTCTCATCTGGAAAATGTGCATAAAAAAAATCCTATCCTCAGAGGGTTATTATGAGGGTTAAATGTGAGAAACTGCTATAGCCAGGTGCCAGGCACACACCAAGGCATCGATAAAGATCAGCTGTGATGGCGACAGTGACCATGCCCATCTTACCATCCAGGTGCAATGGGAGCCAGTCTTACTGCCTTTTCTAACCTCAGTGCCTGGTTCAGTGCTAGGTATACAGAAGAATGGCTGGGAGAGGTGAAGAAACAGAAACACAGCAGCAAGATCACAGCTATCCACTCCTTTCCTCATAAGATTTTTAAAAAGAGATCTAAGCAATAATCTTCAGTGAGAGCTTGATGAACTGTGTCCACACTGCGTCTGTATTTCACGCTGCATGCGTACTAGCATGTTGATCTAGTACTCTAAGAGCCCATGTGAGTTGCAGGGCTTCTCTTGTTTTGCTCTGCATTCTATGTCATTGAGTGTTCACCACCATAAAGAGACCTAATCTAACAGTGAACTTTCACTGGGTTCCAGTTCTTCATGCTAATCAGCACAAAAGTATACATCACTCTTCACATTCTGGATTATTTCTTTGAGACTGATATCCCAAAGTGGAAATCTGGGCAGAATATCTGAATACTTTCATAAATCTGGATTCTCTTAACACTGCAGACTGCTTCTCAAAGACCTCTATGACTTCACACTTCTACAAGCAGAACGTCCATTTCAAAACTCACTTATTAGCTTGAGGATTATGATTTTTTCCCTTCTAACTGACTAAGTACATTTTAAAATTTGTAATTTCACGTGATTGGTAGTGAAAGTGAAGATTTTTCATATCTGTTTGTTGTCGTCTTGGATTACTTTGCTCCTATCTTCTGTCTGGTGAGAGGTCTTTAGTGCCGTTGGTCTAACAAACACAAATGCCATGCCTACAAAAACGAAGAACAAGAACCTCCTCTAGGAGCTTAGAGCCTGGGAGGGGCAGACACGCAGGCAGCAGAACTTCACTGTGGTGCCTACGTCCTAGAGCAGAGAAGCGCCCAGAAAGGAGATGTGATTTCATTAGCAATTTTCACAGACCATTGGTAACACAGGTATTAGCTGCAAATTTCATCAGTTTTCCTTCCTATAATGTAGATTTATGTTGTAAAGTCTGTTATTCTCCTTTGTGACTTTCATTGCCTGTTAACCTTGAAAAATATTCCCTCTGCTAGAGGTCTGATGAATGTTCGATTCTGTTTTCTCCTGCTATAATTATTTAGAACTCTCCTCTCTTTAACATCTGGAACATACTTTGGTGTAGGCTGTACTCAGTGAGGCTCTAAATTACTTTCCCTTCAACCATAAACTGCTTCACGGTCATTCTAGCACAAGTGGGGAACAATCCTTTCTTTCTATCATCAATAAGCGATACTGCCTTCACAATACACCAAGTTCTCAGGTACACCGTAGCCTACTTCAATGCTGTTAGTTTTGCCCAGAGATCCAAGATGTTCCGATCACTGCAGCTTTCAGTGATTTCATCTGCAACCTTACTTATCTTTCCAGAAGCCTTCTGCTGAGTTCTGCAGTAAATCCACAGGTGACATAATTTTCTCTCTAAACCCCAGTTTTGGAGATTCTGTCTTCAGACCACCCCCCTTCACTTCTCACTGCAGATCTCCCACATACCTGAGACCCTCCCTGCCAAATTTAAGTTTCTGGTCACCATCATTCCCGCCGACCCTCCCGTCATCATTCTTGGTGATTCCAAGAGGATGATTTCACACCAAGGCTCTTGTCCTTAAACTCCTCCTCCAAGGACCTTTGCTTCCACTACTTCAGCTGTTCATTCCCATGGTCAGGCCCAGAGACCCTCCCTAACAGACCACTTCCTCCTTGGTCTCAATTCCAACCCTTCACACTCCTACCATCAACCTGGTGCTTCCAGTTCACTCTCAACCCCAATGGTTCTTTCAGGCACTAGGAGCCTCTGATGCTACAGGCCTTCCACTGTCTGTCTCCTTACCCAGCTTAGAGTCTGCCACCCATCAGTTCCACCACTTCCCTTTGCTCTTCTCCCGTGTCTTCACAGGCTTCTGACAAAACTCAGCCCAGTTCCATCCAGCTCTATCCTCCCCTTGGTCTTTCTTGAGTACCCTCCAATTTGGCTTTCACCCAACTACACTAACATGAATGACACCTGCCAAGGCCACTAGCAGCCTCCATGCCAGCAAGCACAATGCTGTCAATCCTCAGTCTTCACTTGACCTCAAGGCAATGTGTGACATGCTGCTCACTCCCTTCTCCTTCAAATGCTCTCTCCACTCTTAACTCGGCTCTCCATCTCAGCTTCTTTTGCTGAGAGACGTTTTTGCTTCACATTTCCCCAAGCAAACATTTCTGTCCCTTCCACAAACCTCTCATCCCAGGTGACAGCAAGCGCCTCCTTTCCACTGCTCAGGCCCAGCTGAGAAGCCGTCCTGATTCCTCTGCTTATCTCACACCCCATAACCAATGCACCAGGAAGTCTGCATCTGACCACATTTCCTGACTTCCACTGTTACAACCTAGGTCCAAACGGCCACCATCTCTCACCTAGATTATGTCAGCAGCCTCTTCACTGGTCTCCTCAGTGCTGCCCTTAGCCCCCCACAATAGGGACTCCATACAGCTGCCACAGAGCTCCTCACTCCTCTGCTCAAATTCCTACTGAGCCTTCCCATCTTACTGAGAAAAGAGCCCTTCACCATGGTCTAGAAGCCCCCGCCCATGCTCTTCTCCCCTCTTCACTCCCTCGCCCTAGCCCCCAGTGATCCCTAAACACACGTCCCCACTCCATGACCATTGCCCTGGCCGTTCCCTCTGCCTGGAAAGCTCTTTGAATGTGCACACGTTGTCCCTGCATCTCCATCTGGTCTCTTCTTGGATGTCACCTTCTCAGCAAGGCCTTCTTTGAGAACCATGGGTAAAATGGCGCTCTACCTCATTTTGCTCCCTGGCACTTATCTTCTAGTTTCTTACACGACTACTTTATTGTCTCTCTCTTTCACAAGAATGTAAACTCCCTAAGGGTGAACAGTACCTGGAACACACCAGGGGCTCAATAAACAGTTGCAAAACAAATAATAAATATTAACGTGGGAAAAAAGTATTTTATTTAGTCTTTCCATTTATGAAGTGGTGATTTTATCTCTCTCAAAAAAGGTTTGTGGTTTGTCTTAGAGATCTTGTACATTTCTTGCCAAGATTATTCCTGGGTATTTACAATTTTTGATCTTACCATATGAGAGTTCTCTTTTTGTTATTAGACGTTCTAATTGGTTATTACTAGTGAAAGATAAAATTTTTCTTATGAAGCCAATTTAGTGAGTCATTTTTATTAGTCCAAGTGCTTTTCAATGCTTTATAAGTTCAAAGAGCTTTATTGCTTTGGGTTTTCCTGATATGCAATGCCATCCCCATATCATTTTTGTCTTATTTTCCAGTACATCTCTTTCTGATTTCTGTTTAGCTGTATTGCAGAAATTCCAAAGTAACAAATTAAGTGACAGTACTCACCCTTGTCTTTTCCTGATATAAATGGGAACAAGGCTTTGCCATTGGTTTAAAAAAGACAAAGGACCTTATCGTGTCAAGGAAATAACTTTCCATGGCCATTTTTTCAAAGACATTTTTATTAGGAATTAACGCTGAATTATCTAATATTCCTTTCGAACACCTCCTAAGATGACTCTGTGGCTTTTCTTATTTAACCTCCTAGTATGTTAAGTTATATTAATAGATTGCCTTTACACAAAATTTTTCTATTATAAATCATACTTAGTAAAAATGAATCAATGTTTTCAACCGTTATAAAATTTATGAGTATTCTGTTTCTGATTTTCCTACCTTTATTCACATTTGCCTATGCTTTTGTTTCATTGTTATTTTTATTAGGTTTTAGAAACACAGGGTTATAGCTTCCTTGCAAGAATGAATATTTCTATGTTTTGGAATAATTTTTCTTCAAAGTTTCAAACAATACATGAACAAATAATTTAGGATCAGGAATCATACCTGAAGGTAGCTTCCAACTTCTTTATTGGGTACTACTTTGTTCAGGTTTTCCTAACCCTATAGCATCAATTTTGAAAACATATTTTCTAGATAATTATATTTATTTTAGTATTCTGTCTTGTTTTTTAGTTTAACAGTATAAACATTATATTGCACTCTGATGATTTTTTTCCTCTAGGTTAAATGTTTTTCTAGCTTTTTTTTTTTCCTACTCCCTAATTAAATATGCCAACTATACGTTTTTCACACTTTGCTTTCAAAGACACAGTGCTTTCTATTTATTTATTTTCGCTTTTTCACTAATTTTTTTCTTCTGGAATGGTTCTGCCCACACTTGTTACCAGGACCATTGAATAAAGAGTGGCAGGTACCTCTGCTGAAGGTTAGTTAGCAACCCTACCTGCCTGGTAAAGGAGAGCCCTGGGGTGGTCGGCCAGGAGAGAAATCAAGGTTATGGCTCAGCCTCAGTCTTAAGTTAGGGGCCCCACAAAAGTCCTTACTGAGGTGCCTCCCCATGGTCACCCTCATAGATGTGTGCCAAGTTCCAGAAGCCCAACTAGACTCTACTCTGAGTAGCTGTGAATAAGTAAGGTTAAGTTACACATTTTTACTGTTATCAACAATAATACAATGCTATTCTGTCAGCTTTCACAAATGTGGAATCGATCTGTGGTCACCAATAAGTGGGTTGGTTTAACTTTAAAGTGTCTGCAGAGTATTTGCTGAGCATATACTGCCAACGGATTATAGTCGCTGCCTTCCAAACCTCTCACTCCTGCCCCATCTCCCCCCAGAGCTCTAGGCTCAATTCCAATGGCTTCTCGACATTCCCTCCCTGACCCCCTCAAACTCTCAACACATTCCACACTGAATTGGTGTCCATCCCCGTAAGCCTGTTGTCCTTATGGTCTCAGTAGAGGACACTACCAACTATCCAGGTACCCAGCTAGGATCTCCCTCATCCCTCCCTTTGCTCCATCCTAAGAATTTCCCAAATCAGTCTCCTCTCTATCCCAATTGTCATAATCCCTTCAGGCCATGAAGTTTCCAACTGAATCATTGAAGCAACCTTCTTTCCCCATAGCTGTCAGAATGATCTCCCTCTTGTGCTTCGAAGCTTCTAATGGCTCCCTGTCTCTTCCATGATAAAGGACACTCATTAATAGGGAGCAGGAGCCTTCCATGACCTGGCCCCTGCACATCAGCCAGCCCCTCTCTGTCCAGCTCCCTGCCTTGTAGGTAAAGATCCACAGCGGTGAAATGCTGCCAACTGATCATTCACACCAAGCCTTTCTCATTTCTGCTGTCCTCTGCCTGGGAAAGCCTTCAGGCCATTCCTGGACTAGACCACAGGCTTTCTGAGGAAAGTCTAAATTGTATTCACTCCGGTATCCCTGGCACCTACCAAGTGTATAGCACATGCCTTTAAACTGCTACTGAGCAGCCTTCCTCTTCTTCAGTCGAAATCTGTACAATGTGTCTCTTTCTATATTGTCTATTTAAAATACTTTGTAAACATACTCAAGGTCAAGTAAAAAACTTTTCATTGGGCCCCTGTGTGCTGGGTTCTGTGGAATAAATAAAGTGTGCTTACGGACTTAGTGATCCACTGATGAAGGTAGTGATTCAGTTCACCAGGATAAACAGCAGAACGTGGGGAGTTCTACATTAAAGATATAAACATATACCCCATGAGGGCAGGAGTGGGGGCACTGAATGCAGCTGGAAGCAGGCAGTGGGGACAATGACTGCACAGACCTTGAGGGACAGGCAGGGTGTGACCAATGGTGGTAGGGAGGGATGGCCCAGACTCAGGGCTCTTTAAGGACCAAAACAGTCCCCAGGGAACATGAAGGTGCTGAGCTCAGACAGCTGCTGGGGCCGCCCACCCCAACAGGCAGTCCCACTCACCGCCTGAGTGACTCCGGAGGATGGAGACACATCGCCACTGCTCCACGTTGGCAAGCTTACCGCTGGAGCCGAACACGGTGCTGGGGCCGATGTACCTGCATGAAAGAGGAGTCAGAAAGGCACTCTAGGAGTGCTCTGGGCACTGCACAAAGATGCGCACTGCAGCATGGCTTCACGGCAGACAGAACAGAGCAAACACAGACAATGGCTGGGAAGCACCAAACTGCTGCATGACAGGGGCTGACAGTAGGTTATGATCCATGCACTTGATGAAATAGTATACAGCCATCACAAATCGTGTGGTAAAAGACTATCCACTGCTTGAGAAAATGTTCACAATATATAAGTAAAAGCAGCAGGCCACAAGACATCATGTATAATATGATACCACTACGTAAGGAAAAAAATACACATAACATGGACAACATCTACACGTGGAAAACGGATCAGAAGGATACACATGAAAAACACCCAAAATAACAACTGTGGCTTTCTTTAGGTGGCAGGATTGTGATTTTTTTTCCTTTATATTTTTTCAGTTTTCCAAATAGTATACTAAATACATTATTTATGTTGGTTAAAGCAGCAAAATCAACAATATTTTTTAAGCCCTTTTGTAAATGAAATGAACGTCTCTGCCTTAATACTGAGGCAGAGAAAGCATTCGAACCACAGGTACTAGCTCCTGCCATGTGGAGCTGGTAGAGCAGTCACATGGGCCCCCAGAGAGATGGCGCTGACGCCACTGAAGCACGGAGCCTCTGTTAACACCCTTTGCGCCTGCAGAACTCTCCACAACCCCAGAGAAAGAGTTCGCTGAGGCAGCTGAGTGGGCTGAAGGAGAGAGTGTGCCTCTGCTCTTGAAGCCACGGCCACAGGGCCACTCCGGCTAACCCATGGGGTAGGGTCTATTTTCCCAGCCCTAGAGTCACCTGGGGAGTTGGTTATGGGACAGAGTCCCAGGACCCACCGTGAGACTCTGCCTAGGTTTAAAAAAAAATAGTTCTCCAGGTGATGATTAGTTCCTTGTGGGTGCAGAGCAGGGGCTTTCAAGGGGGGACAGGTGCTCCTCAGAGCCCAGAATGAGGCTGACAGAGAATGAGGTGAATGGCAAAGAGGGCGGGCTCTGGATGCCTGCCCTGGATTCCATCAGAGCACCTTGACTATTAACCATTTTGTACGTTGGGAAACTTCATCTGAAGAACGAAACAAACGGAGCCACCAATGTCAGCACTGGAAGGGATTAGCCCTTCATTTTCAGGTGGAAACGCTGCAGTCCTCCAAGGGGGCAGCTGAGCAGGTCTCTAGGCAGGTGGGTGGCCTCCTAACTCCTGGTCAGGCCCCAGCTACTCCTGGCCTACGCGTGCTTCCTGACATGAAGTCAGAGCTCTGGAGACTTCAGTGCCAGGGTGGGGAAAGGGACTGTGATAAGGACCAGCAAAGAAGCTTGTAAAAATAAAATGTGAAGAAAGGAAAATGATGCTTACGTAGCCCGTTTCCACACCATAATCAGTTTGTCATCTCCCCCAGAAGCTAAATACATCCCACTGTTTGACCACCGCACACAGTTCACACATGCTGGGAAGAAAAAAAAAATAGGGTGATGAAAATCCAATAGTCATGTCCATTTGCTTTATGCAGAGTTTGGTAAGATGCAAAGGGTTCATAAAATCTAATCTATCTAATCTATTCAAGGCATCTACTGTGTGAGAGCCCCAGAAGAACAATTCAGTTCAAGCACTAACCTACTTGTGCTGTAATAACAAATGACCAGAACAGAGTTTGGAGGGGGAAAGGCTACATAATCTGAGAAGTGTTAGTGCTGAATGAAACAGTCAGTAGGAGGATGCTTAATTCCATGAAAACTGATAAATAACTAAATCTCATTATCTCAAAAGGGCTGTCTCATAAGATGTATTTCTGAGTAGGGATAATTCTCTAAATGAGGGCATATGCTAAAAGGCCAAGATGCCTTTTCCAGAATTTTCATGGAGGCAGCTTGTAGAGCATAAAACTCTGACTTCATCCCGCCCATCAGCCCTTTTAAACTCAGATTTTCCAAACTTGTCAGCACTGCAGGTTGACTGATTCTACACTCATAAACTCAGACCAGCAGAAATCCCCCCGGCCCCTGGTGGGCTGGAGCCTCTGGGAGCCCTCACAGCTCGGCCTTTGGGAGCCCTGCAATTTGAGAGACGCTATACAAGTTGTGGTCCACAAATGACCTGTGAGTGTCTTGTGCTCGAGGTCAGAGGACGCTGAGAAGCATGTTGGGAGAGCAAAGAAGGGGACGTAACTGTTAATGGAGCATCTCAGGGGAGGCAGCTAGGCTGAAAACCAGAGCCAAGTACAGTCACCCTGATGCTCAGAGGTGGGAAACTAAGGCACTAACGCAGAAAAGGAAACCACAACACTGTCCAACGGCCAAAGGGTCCTGGCAGAGGGCCTCAGAATGACACAGCGGCAATCTGAGACATTTGATGAGTTGTCTTTTACGCACCCTTCCCCAGAACCCTACTGCTTCCAGGTCGCTGGCCCCAAAGCCCCATGGAATCAGGCAGTAACGACTCATGAGCAGGAAATCACCAGAGGTACCTGCAGACTGTCCAAAGATGGTTCTGTGAGCGGGCCGAGTCTTCTGCCGAATAACTCACCCAGGTGTGAAGCCAACATCTGTGCCTTCAGACAGCAGGCCGAGGGGAGTTATCGCCGCACGGGGCCTTATCTTTCTAATTACAAACACATGTGCTAACCTTGGGCACTCTGCCAACACGCAAAGCCTGCAAAGGGCCACTCTGTAATACCTAAGTGATTGTCCATCTGGCAAAGCATCTTGGGAATATTTTCATCCTTCTCGTCATCCTCCTGGAGGACTGGAGACATATTCCAGATCACAACCTTCCCAGAATCCTGTCCTGGAATGAAGGAGCAGAAATAACTCAATATGCAAGGAGTAGAAATTTGATATCAATAAGTAATATTAACTATGAGACATAGTCCTCACTTAGCTTTCATAAATAATAATAGTCTAGATTGGAAGAGACTGAATTTGAATTACTAATGTAAGTTACAGAAAAGATGCAGAAAAACAAGTCCTGATAGGGATCAAACAGAGTGTGGTTTTAGCAGTATGCTGAGGCCAACCTGACTTTAAAGAACTCTGGACTAGGTATCAGGAGGGGACTGAGCTGTGGTCTGGCCTCTAATACAGATCCTCCAGGGTCCCCTAGAAGGTCCTCATCCCTGCCCAGAACCCAGACCTTGCATCTGTAAAATGAAGAGCCTGGAAAAACTGCTGCCCCAGGACCCTTTCAGGTCTGTGCATGGGCACCCTAGCAAGCAAGGAGAACAGCATGGTCCCTGCTGGGGCTTCCCTCCCCTTTCAGGTACTGCCAGGAGTCCTTATCTGTTCCCATAGCTGACTGGATGCTGTGAGACCCAAGTCTGAAATGTGCCCCGAATACAGAAAAAGGGCTCATACCTTCTTATCTGCCCTTTGCCGTCACCTACAGATGGGGGATCAACCAGAGAGAGCATTTAGGGCTCCTGTGGTGATAAGCTGATGCAGTACTCTGCTAAAACATATATCTATGCATTTTAGTAACGAGTTCTCTTTCTAAGCTTTCCATTACTGACAACTAACAAAAGTCTAGCCCCTCATTTAACTTTCCATTATACAGGGGCAAAACCCAATAAATGCCTGGAAATGGACATGTCAAAATTACCATAAGGCATGCTTGAAACTGCCTCCTGGCCAGTATTTAAAAATACTTCCTAAACAGCTCCCCTAGACCTCGCTAAGCTGAGCAGGTCGGGAAAATACGCCTCTTCTTGTGGATGAGGAGAAAACTCTGTCCCCTGGCTAAATCCAGCGGTCCTAGGTGACACTCGTAGGCACCTCTCAGGTGCAGCATGCAGGAAAGAGATCAAGGCTTCCCTTCACACCCCTACAGCAGGAAGTCCACAGACAACCTGCAGCACCTGGCTGAGGACCCAGAACTCACGGAGGCACTCTCCAGGTGCTGTCCAGGGAGGCCTCAGCCGGACAGAGACCCTACCCTGGGATGAAGCTACAGAGGACTGGGCTCCGCAGGAATGCTACTTTGCGTGATCATTTATACATCTTGGTGTCCTGGCCTGAAAAATGACTTTATCTTTCCAAACAGAGCTACATTACTGCAATATTTCAACAAACACTGGATGAAGTACACTGACAATGCTATGGACCATCTTTTTGAATGGTGTGCACATTTCTACTTGCCCACAGTGTATCTGCTTTCTAACCCAGTTGAATTCCTTTGAGCCCAGAAAATGGGCCTAATAACTATAGGACTGACTGTAAGTTAACCACCTCCTTCCCTTTTTCAGATGAGAAAACGCAGCCAAAGCCAAGATGAGGACCCAGAGCCCTCACCTCTGGGGCTGGGGTTTTGTCCACAAGACCACCTGCCACTCTCCCTGCTCAATAAGCTTGGGCTTGGGCATGAAAACTGATTTTAATGTTAACTCAATAAATAGGAATTAGAAAGATAAACCTACTACCAAAATATTCATCAAAAGCACACTAGAGCCAAAAAAGGATTTTGATGTGATCTGTTCAGATAACAGATTACAACTGTACATTTTAAACTCAATCACATCCATACTGGAAAACACAAGTATTCTCTCTTCAGCTCACTGTGGAACCAGGAGAAGCAGAGCAAGGTGGCAGGGCTATGAACGTTCCCTCTGTTAGTCCATTAACGTACCTTGTCCTCCAGTTGCGAACTTGGTCCCGTCAGGGTGAATATCAACTGAAAAAATTGGCTTGCCTGGAAACAAAGAAAAAAAAAGACACACACAACATCTACCTTGGCTTTTATTCACAGGAGAATAGTAACAGACTCAAAATTTTAAGACACTGGTTCTTCAACTAATATTCCTAATCACTGCTCCTAGGAAAAAATAATAGGCTACCAATAATTTACTTGTGAGTAAAGATGGAGTGACCTTTTAAAGTATAAACTGTTGGAAGACTCACCAAATGACAATAAATAGCTGAAAGTCTCTAAGGGAGACAAAGCATTTTGTCACCGGAACGACTGAGCCCACAGGATACCTGGGCAGTCATAGAGAGGTCCCTGGGACAGGAGCCTACCACCTTCTGGGGATGCATATTTGCAAAGGCTACGAACTCTTCACGACAACACCTCTGAGTCACAGGGGCTATACCTCTAGCCATCTCCCCTTCCCACGGATCTGTACTTGGCTGGCAGCCTGGACGCAGGGAGCATGCCCCAGCTTTTCCACCGGCTGTCTCACAGATTGGAAGGACCCATGGCTGGATGCAACACCGGCATTCCTTCCTGTCATGCTTCTGCTTCCAAAAGCCCTCCCATACGTTTGTGCTACATCAAAATCCACAGAAAGTCGCCCTTCTTGGCATTTCCTCTGGCTGAACTTCCTCCACGGTATGTGCCCTATGTTCAACTAGACATTCAGTCCCTCCAAAGGGAAGGGCTGTGACTACTAGCTCTTGGAGTCCCCACAGGGCCCAGGCCCACATCAGGAGCCCATGAAGCTGGATGGCTAGCTAGGTGGACCAGACTGGCAAAAGTGCCAGAAGAGCTCAAAACCCAGTAGACTGTAGAAGTAATCCTGGGGCCTTTGCTCAGTGGGCACTGTCTGGCTCCCTGGTCTGCTTCCAGACTAAGAGAGGTATGTCAATCACTGCTGAGTTCATCACCACATCCTCAGCTTCTAGCATGGGCCTGTTGAGTAGTGGCTCAGTAATATTTGTTCAGTGACAAATTAGATGCATGACAACGAACTAAACAGTAGCAACTGCTGATACAGACAAGGGGCTGTTGCCAAGGAGTCTCTTAGTTGAGGACACACTGTCTCTGTCACCCAAGAAGAGGTGGCAAGGACACTAGGATGAGGGTTACCAGCTCTAGAATCACATGGCAGCAAGTGTGGGCAGGGCAGGGGCAGGCAGTGGCTACCTAAGAGCTGAAAATCCTTCCAGAGCTCCCATCCAAGTGTGGAAAATCAAATGCTGGTACCCAAAAGGCAATGGCCAGCACGGGCTCCAGGTGGCACCCAGCTCACCTCACCTTCTTCTGGAGAGCCACACCCCTACAGTCAATCAAGCATGAGTTTCCAAAGACAAGTGGAAATGCACTCTCCTTCTCATTGGTCATTACATCGTAGTGGGGGAAACAGCTGTGCAAGGCCACTAACAAGCAGGTGTGGCAAATGTAAACGCCCTAGTTTGTCTCAGGAAGCAAGTAGAAACCCTAGGAAAGTTTGGAAATCACACCACATGTTCTTTCATCTCTAGTACTTACTGAATTCCAAAACAACAAAGGCTACCACAACAGGCCCCTGTCATGCTGGTAGCTCTAGCCTGGTCTCTGAGCCCCTTGGTCACCTACAGGCCCACAAGAGCCAGAGCTCTATAGTAAGAGGTTAAGTTCAGCCAAGCAGCTGCTCACCACCTTCCTGGAGCACATGCAGTGTGCTTAAAGCTGTCCCAAAACACAGGAAATCCAGCCCTGGTCCGCTCTGAGCTTTCATTCTAAGAGTTCACAAGACAAGCCCCAAGACAGCTGGGCACTCTATACAGATCTGAAAGAGCCACACCCAGCAGTGGAGTGCACTCACAGAGGCCTGAGGTAAGAGAGCCTGCAAAAAATTCTTCCATATCCTGGACAGGGCAGACTCTAATTAGTCCACCTTAATCTTCAAGGGAAGAATCCAGAAAACTATACATGGTGAGCTGAAAGAAGATAGGTGCTGAGAACACAGGTGAGAAGGACTGGAAGTGTTCAAACTGGTGCTTTCTTGCCTATGCACTCAGGCCCACGTTGGCACACCCATGCCCTTCTTGGGCCAGGTGGCTGCCACGTGTGATAAGCCACAGCATCCAACACATTGCCACTGAGAATGTGCCACACCTTCCCATAGGCTGAGGAACCAGGAGGGAGGCAGTTGTGAGAAGGTGGGTTTCTCGCCCATTTGGGCTGCAAGAAGTACCTCACAGGAAAGCTTGGGAAACAAGAAAGGACAATTGGGACTGTGGGCCCAGCCTCGAGCCGTGCAGACATCACTGCTCCAACAGCTGTGAAGAATGGCAAGACCAGGGTGCCTAGTGCTAAGACCGAGGCTCGGAGTCCTGCCAGACACAAGAGGACAGTGACCAATTAGCACCACTAAGAGCCTTGTGAAATTCAGAAGAGCAGATGTCTCCAAGCATGGCAAGGACAGCAGTGGGGGAGCCTCAATCCCATCAGCGCTGCCATCTCCACTTGGGGGCTCCCAGGCCAGGCCTTGGAGGTCCCAGCCAGCTGCTCCTTCCAGGAGAGCCACAGCCATGCTGGGGCATATCTTACGGAGCCCTGCCTTTCCAAAGCCAGACCGACTTCTCCCCAGTCCATGACATGCTCTTGAGCATCTGACATGCCTCTCAAACCGTGCAGGCAGCACAGCCCAGGGCATTCTCTAAATCTCATACCGCCCTCTGAGGTAAATACTTCTGACATCCTCATTTTGCCATGGGGGAAACTGAGGCACACAAGAGGTTAAGAAAGTTGCCCAAGCTACATAGCTGCCTGGTAGAGTCCAAATATCTGGCTCCAGAGCCCAAGGTGTTAAATACCATGGGGTGTGTTGCCCCTCTAGGTGAAGCTGGGAGGGGGTGCATCTGGAGCTGCTGTGAGGGTCAGGATGACACTGCCTGGAGGGAAATGAGGCAAAGCCTATAGGTGGAAAGCAAATTAGTGAGCAAGAGCCATAGTGAAAGTGAGAGTGCGCATGCATGTGCACCAGGTCCTGATGACCTGTTTTGGGCCCTTGGACTTGCTATGCTGACCATTGCTTTGGACACCTCAGTCCCGTGCACTTCCCACCCCTTGAATTTGGACTGATCCTGTGACCCGTTTTAACTAACAGTATGTAACAGAAGTGACGCTGCTCCAGTCCAGGCTTAAGCATAAAAGGTCCAGCAGTTCAACATTTGCCCTCTGGAGAAAGCCAGTTGCCATGTAAGAAGTTCAACCACCCTGAGACCACTGTGCTGAGAGGAGGCCCAAGACGGCCACATGGAGAGGGTCAAAAAACCCAGACAACAGCGAGAATCAAGGCTTCAGACACAGGATCCAGGTGAGCTGCTGTAGCCACAAGCTGCTCGAGCCATTCCAGCAGATTCCGTGTGGAGCCGAGATGAGCTCTCCACACTGAGCCCCGCCAAATTGCAGAATCACAAACAAGTAATAAAACAGTCATCGTTTTAAGCCAGCAAATTTTGGAGTAGTTTGTTAAACAAGAAATAACCACAAATGCCAATTCATTCACTTTTCTGCTTAAGCCAGCCTGAGCTGAGCATTTGTCATTTTAACCCAAAACGTTCTGCCTGACTGAGCATCAGTCTTGAGTAGGCCACCAGGGAGGAGCATCCACCTGGCCCTTGGAGTGCTTTTCAGTTGTTTAAGTCTGTGAGACACTGCATTCCATGTCTCCTCAAGCACAAGAAAATCACTCACCTGCAAGTCACAGGCCAGCCTGGCTCCCCAAGAGCACACACAGCCAAGCCAGGCCGGTTGAGGGGCTCACCTGCACAGGTACCAAGCACAGCCCAAGTCCCTCCCACCACACCCACTCTCAGGATGAACAGGATGTTTTCTCATTCATCCACCTTTATGGTTGTCTACCATGAGCCTGATAGTGGGCTAAGCAGTGAGAAAGTAAAGATGTAGAAGGCTCAGTCCAGCCTTCAGGAAGTTCCCAGAATGCAGATAATCACATGAACCTCACTGATAAGTCCAGCAACGGAAGCCTCTTCAGGTAGAAAGCAACCTGCCTTAGCCCAGGGCTTCCTACAGAAATCACAATTCAATTGAGTCCCCAAGGTTGAGGAAAAGCCAGCCAGAAGGGTGTGGGAGGGGAATTTCAGGTAGAAGGGACAAGCAATGGAATCAAGAAGGAGCCCAACATGCTGTAGAGTAGAGCGAAGCCTGGGATTGGAGAGAGCGGAGGCTCTGGAGACAGACAGGGCTCGGCAAGGCACCAGTGAGGAGTGCTACAGCTACCTCTGAAGCAGGGGAATGCTAGGTCAGATGCACGCTGTGGCTCCACACAGCCGTGTGGAGCAGGGGCTTTTGTTGTTAAGACTGGAAGGGAATTGTTTAGTCGGAGGGGGCCTCATGGCTCCAGGGAAAGGCAGAAATGAGGGTTGAGAATAGGCCTGGGTTTTAGCATTAAACACCCCAGGGTTGAATTCTCAGCTCTGCCGCTCACCAATATATATAGCCTTGAGTAAGTTATTTAATCTCGCCAAACACCACTTTTCTAATCTGCAAAATGGGGAGGACACATTCACCCTTACAAGCCCCTTATGAGACAGATTAAGATGCTGTATCACGTGGCTTCTAAGATGCATACATAAGATGCATAAGATGTCCACATGTGAACACTTCTGAGATCAGGATGCGCCTTGGTGAAAGGCATGACTGGTGTAACTGGCAGCATATTGATGCACCACAGATCAGATGAAATATGGTGGTAGGCCTACACAAAGCCACCAGCATGGTCCTGGCTCCCCATCTCCTTACAGCACTAGATCTTTCAGTCCCAAGGAAAACAGTGGCTCACATTCCCCCAGTGAGAACGACCACCTTTTTCTAAAGGGCTCTTTGAGGTGGAGCTCAGGAAAAGGATCGTCTGGCTTGACTAGTTAGAGAACTTTTCATGTGGCACAGCATAATGATAAAGACACATTCCCAACTACTTCCAGGGTTTGGCCTTTCTTTGCACAGAGATAGAGACAAAAGAT